GAAGTGTGATTGAGAGTGCAATCGTACCAAGGAAAATGTGATGTTGTGTGTGCATGCATATGAGGACCCCGAAAAGACTAAGGGGCCTACTTCAATAAGGTGGGAAGCAAATTGTGAGATCCGATGGATGCGTAGAGGCGAGGGGGAGGACGGCCCCGCCGCACCCCGATGACGCCATATAGCCAAAATGCTTAGGGAAATGGTGCGTGGCCTAAGGATGACGCTTAGCCTACGCACAAGAGAAGAGAAACGCTCAAAAAACCCCTGGACTGCCTGCGTATTGGAAGGAGCAATTGCTTGAGAACACAATAAAGAATAAAAAAAAAATCAGCGTTGCGGAACGCCCAGCGAGACTACCACCCAGCGTGAGGGTTGAGCTACATCCCCAATGTCAAAGCTCTCTTGCGTGATGGCCCATCCCCATCCATCTCAAAGCACTAGGTGGGGGTGACCTCGGGACGAACAGCCCGCGCCCTGAGCATGAGCGTGAGCGGGCCGAACCAACTGGGACCCGCAGTGGGGTCGACTAAGGCTCGAAAGTCTACCGGGGCTAGGCCCTACAACGGGAACAGCATGAGTGAGGGGATGACTGATAAAGTGCGAAGTGAGGAGTTTAATTGTAAAAATATTTCCTTGAGCCCAGGTGGAGGCGTGATATGATAGGCACTGCGGCCAGTACGATGCTTAGACTCTTCGATAGTGTGAGCCGGTGATGATTTGAGTCGTTTGCGGACTGTCTGGCTAACTATCGATAAATCTCGAGAAGTAGTGGCCACTAGGATAGCGGTTTGGCTAGTCCGAAGAGAAGCTTATGTGTTAATTATATGTGATATATGTATATATGGTCTTTGTGACTGTCTGGTTGGTTGTCTCTATATATGTGTTGTCATTGTGTTTTGTTTGATGTAAGATTGATGGCGTATGTATGGATTGTCTTCCACGAGGACATAAATTTTGCATGAAACCCACGGCTGGCATGGGACCAGGGGTGAATGGGGTGACTTTCTTATGTGGAAGGTGGTTCTTCCGGAAAGGAGTTAGTCGGCATGTATAATTTGTCCTCAGTGGAAGTGTATTCTTGAGTTGTTACCCCCTGGTTGAGACTTAAGGAAGCAATTATTAGTCTCAAGACTGATAGTGAGACCCATGTCGGAACTATGTTCCTGGTCCATTAGTGGGGTGTTGTTATCCTTCTTATGATAAAATAACTACATTATCTGTTGAGAGAGGAGGAGGGAGCTTGTTACCTTGTCGAAAACTGTAATAGCCAGGTAGAACAACTACTGTTTAGCAAAGAGCGGTTCTGGAGTAGCGACCTAGACTCGTCTCGTGTTCAGTAGGGCCACCGTATTTATAAGAGGTGCGAATCCGCTGTTCGTTGCTTTGATAAGTATGAGTGGGGTTGTCCATCTTGCCATTATAAGTTCGATGAGGTGCAAGCACTGGAATCAAAGGGGTCACGGTGAGGCTTGATCTTTAGAGCGGGGCTCACGAGTCAAGATGTTATCTCGTGAGGATTACACCGCCCCCGTATTATATGCTTCGCATAAGACCTGAAGGGAGTAACAATTGTATCATGCTATTTACTCATTGTCAGTCTTATTTTTGCCTTATAGAATCTGCAATACGCTTTTGAGAGTTGTTGAGTTGCGTGACTGATAGTTGAGTTAAATTCATATATCTGTTTCTGAAGCATCTTATGTTTTTCATCTGCGATTCTAACTGACGAATAGTGTTTATCGCATCATGAATTATTGATTGTGTGTATAGGTTATCTATTGTGGGTTATACCATATTTTAAAGACTCGTGTTTGAAGTATCTACTTATGTGATATATATGTGTTGTATCATTTTTGGATACTATAAGTGATATCTGATTAATGTCTGAGCTATGTTTTGAGTATTATATCAGGGATAATTAAGTCTTGTGATTTGGATATGTTTTCAAAGGCTCTCTTCGGTATCGTTGTCATTTTGAGTAGGTTTTTATGAGTGCTTACGGGATGAAGTGTCGAGGTGATTCTAGTAGGATATATTTTGTATTTGATTTAATTGTGTAACTTCTTTCGAACCTCGACCCTAAGGCCGCTCGTTGTCTTGTTCAACAGGTGAAGGGGTTGAGGGAGCTCGAGATGGAGGGTTCTCAAGGAAAGATTGGGGCCGAGGAACTCGCTTCTCTGTTGGAATGGCGAGATTGGGAGCGAGACAACCTGCCCAAGGTTGAGATCGACTTCTTCAAAGGCGATCATGTTTCTGACTTCCTCGACAAGTTTGAACAGATAGCGTCCCACTGCAAATGGAGTGAGGGGCAAATGCTAGAAGAAGTGATAAAGTATATTTGTATAGGCTTGAAGGGTGAAGTCAGTGAGTGGGTTGGTTAGAAGAGCAGGGTCATCGTGGGGAAAGTTCTATGATGACATGTGGAATAAGTACCGGCTAGGTGAGGAACAACTGACCAGAGACGATATTGAGAAGATAGATCGGTATAGATTTGTGTCAATGGGGTACTTCTTGGCAGAGTATGAGCACGCATCGCGTAAGGTCTGGACACTGTCAGAACATAACAAATGCTTTGTCTTCCTCATGAACTTCACGAATGCAGAACAACGAGATTTGATTCGTGGAGCAGAAGGGAGACTAGTATGGAATAAGATTCGACAGAACCTTGAACAGAAGGATTTCGACCAGTACCTCTGCCATACTCTGCGGGAAGCGAGGAAAAGAAAGAAGGCGCTGGATAGTGAGAAGAGTGAGCTTGAAAAGGGGTTGAGTGATTCTGCAGTAGGCACCTCTGATGCTAAGAAAGTTGGATCCCAGAAGGACGCCGAGAACGTCAGGCGAAATCACAGGTGGAGCAGAGAGAAGAAAAATGAGTCGGGAGGTGAGAGAAAAGAGATACCGGCTAAAGTAAGAGTTGTTGCAACCCATACCTGTGAGAGAACGCTTGATGCTCCAGACGAGAAGGGAATAGAGGAGCAAAGAGTTCTGGGGGGAGTTGCTATAACCCTGCCGCACACTGCATCCAATCTTGATAAGGAGTGTGATGACAAAGGAACATCGTCAGTTGTAAGTCGAACTAGACGAAGGAATAGAAGGGGGCGAGAACGGTGGGCGAGGGTAGTATGTGCTTACTGTGGGCAGGCTGGCCATACCCCTCGCAAATGTAAGATGGCAAAGAAAGGAATTGAGGGGTGAGGTTGTCTACCTAGGTGAGAATGGTGTCAACGATCTTAAGTGACTAATAGTTGGACACTCAAAAGGTCGTGACAGCGTGGTAGGCTCGATTGACAGAACTAATGAGCGATTACCTGCTTATCTTGCCTTTATTTCCAAACCTATGAATTTCATGAGACATAGGCCCTTTCTTGTATATATTTCTGATATCGAAGGTGCGTTTTTACTTTTTGGGGTTGTGCGTATATTTTGGATCTGACTATCCTCTCTTTAAGCTGTTTCTAACTTTAGTCAAATACGAGTGGAGATCTTTTAAGAAATTGTCGTCTGTACGCTAAACGCATACCCAATTGTGCGAGAACATTTGATATTATTTTGCGTATATGACTTGTGTGATACGTTATACAGGGTCTTTTGTTGATTGAGATATGAATTTGTGATAATTTGAGATTTGTGAGGATGTGAGATTTGGGATGACGTGATTTTCCTCTGGGAATATGAGTTTTGATTCCCCTGGGTTGCAGGATCACGCGTGTTCTGGTTGTCATCGACATTCTCATCAAAGTGCCCTTGTGAGTCTTTTTGTGTATTACTTTGATTAATGGTGAAGTGAAGAAGGCGTGATTATTTGTGGGGTATTTCTGAAAGGCTCAAAGAGTCCAGAAAATCACATTAAGAAAGAGGTTATGCCCGAGGGCGGCCTTACAAAGTTTGAGGGGTATGTTCAAGTGAAGAATGTTTTAAGGTTATATAAGCAAATCCATCCATGAGTGAGAGGATGGCTGAGAGATTTTTATGGGTGATTCTCCTTCAGAGTGGAAGGAGTCTTAAAAGGTATTATGGAAGGCTCACCCATGAGAGGAAGGGGGTGGCCTAAAAATATTTTTTATGGAGTTAGAGTATTACCTCCGGCCAAATCGGCAGTTCCGCCCACCTGGGCCTCAACTGCCAGTAAGCGTGTCATCTGCGACAGGGAAACTTGTCATGTAAGAAAGCCCTTACCCGGCCAGTGGTTGTGAGTCCCGGGTGGTTCTGTGTGTGGCAGGGGGTAAGGAAAAATTCGTTCAATTCGGCATCCCCGCTTGCGTAGTCACGTAAAAGTTGGTAAGGCTGGTTGTGAGTCCTTTGCTCAGCTGGTTATGGGCCACAAGCGGTCTAGTCTGTGACGGGGACTTCCATGATTAAGACTCCTTGAGAGGAACTAAAGTTTTGCTGATAGCCGGTGGGAGTGCCATCTACGGCAGGAAGGATCGACCTGATTATGGGGCCCTCCAATCGGCTAGGGTTTTGTTGAAAGGGGTGATGGCAATAAGTGTGAGATTTTGAAAAGTAAAAGTGAGTTCTATTTGGAAGAAAATTATGAGGGTTTGCTCATTGAGCTAAACTTATGAGGGAGAATGACAAAGTATGTAACGAGGAGTGAAGGACCCTACTTACGAAAGTAAGATTTATGAGAAAAGGGCATGGGCTTCAATTATTTGTTTAAAGGCTCAATAAAGGCTTAGTGGATACCCTTGCCTGTCTTCCCTGTGAGTGGTGAAAGTAAGTGGCCTATGCATGATAGTGGTGACTTGTGGGACTGGGCTTAACGGGGCCCTGCCCATAAGGTACATTTGTGGTACGTATGATGGGGTTGAGCACCCCAATCATCTAGATTAGCTGAAAGATTGAGGTGTCTGATTAAATCCCACAATGAGGTGTTCTTTTGAGAGAGAACTTGTAACAAGAGTATATAGGTTGGTGGAGCTTGAGTAATTGATGGGTGAAAAGAAAAGAGTTTACCTGAAGATTGGGGTCCTGAAATTTGACCCACCACTGAGTCTTAGTCTTAGCCAGTGGTGGGGTAATCAGTGTGTCCGGCGCGATAAGACATCGCTCAAAGACACCGGAAGTGTTGTAGTCCTAAGTTTGGCTTTGGATGACTCCCCGTCCGTGGCTATAGTGGGTGGAAAGTGGGTTTATCCACTTTGTTGAATTAGAAATGGAGGAGTGTTTGTGCTTAGCCGATTACTCGGCTATTATAGATTTCTATTTCTGATCAGGAATTGAATGGTATTTTCGACCTTTGACTTCTGCACGAATTATCTTAAGGAAACGAGGTCTAGTGTTGATACAACTAGATGACCGTTTCAGTTGAAGTTGAGAACTCAAGGGAGTTGTCATGTACTTCTTCGGAAGACTATAGTTGAATAGAAATACTTGGTGCGACGAGGACGTCGTTTAATAGAGTCCGGGAAGACTGTCATACCAAATACCCTTACAAGGGTATTTGGCGTGTTTTTTGCGAGTCGCGCGAGCGTGGTATCGCCCGCTTGACGGCGCGTGCGTGAGCAGAAGCATAGGTTCTTGTCAGGGTGAGAGGCGCACATGGCGGCGTGGGGTACTGATGGTGAGGCGCAACTGTGCGCTGCCTAGGCGTGCGTGGCGTCACGGACCAGCGGGACGCGTGACGTCTGCTTGTATTTTATATCAAATAATTGTTGTATTGATTTTTGTTATGCTCCGGCGTGCCGTTGACTCGGACGCGACGCTGGACTAAATGGGCGTCACAGTAGTCGAGGGCCTTGAGCGCGGGCCTCGCCTGACGGTCCGCGAGCTCGGGGTGCTGACAAAGGTCCCCTACCACGCCGTGGCAGAGAAAACCGCGGCGTAGTTAGGATCTGAGTTTGTAGTTGTACTTTAGATAGAAGGGTCGGTAATGCCGGATGTATATGACCTATGTTTCGTGTTCGATGAAGTCGTTCGGGGGTGTGTTGTATTCACGGACTGCCTGAAGTACGGCTACTAACTGTTTTCGTGACTGCGCCGAAGTTATCCCGTCTTGGTATTATGGGGAACCCCGTAGCGGCCACATCCGTGCTCGGGCCTCCAACAAGGGAACGTGCGGGAGCTGCACCCACCAGCGGGGGCGGTATTTGTTGTAGCGGTGGGTGTACCGGCCAGGGGCTAGCCAATAGTATAGGGCCAAGGTCTTTCGATCGGCCAGGGTTCAGCCGGTAGCATCAGGGCCGAGCTTCTTCGATGGGCCAGTCACCTTGCCCCACCTCTGGCCCTCTCCCCCTATGACCATCGGCGGCCTCCGCCTTATGTTACTCGGCGGGGGCCAGCGGCTTAGAGAAGCCGTGGGCACTAGGCTTGCCCGCGGGCTGCCCTTGGACCATGAGCTGCAAAAATCGGCACTCGGGGCGAGTGGAGAGCTCGGCGGGTCAACGCAGTGCGGGCAAGGCGGAACGATAATACAGAGGGGACGGGGGAAAAAGTACCTGGGCGCAAAGAGGGGCCAGGTACATGCGGAGTAAGGAAGAAGGGCAGCGGTGACGGGGGAACCGACCGAAAGCCGGGCGAGTGGAGAAAGGGAGGAAGGGAGTGGTAAAGCACTTACCTGGCAACGTAGGCGGAAGTTCGGACAGTGGGCGAGGCGGTAGAACGGGGAGATACCTCGGGCCAGTGTGAGTAAGCTGGCGGGTGATATGTGTTAGGCGCAGTCGAGGAGCAGAGTGCATAGGGCGTGGAGGTGAGGTGGAAAGCAGTAGTGCGACGGGCGACGGGCGAAAGGCCGGTGAGACGCAGACAAGGGGAAAACGGGGGGATGAACCTGGCGCGATTCTGCGCCAGGTACGTGCAGCAAGAGAGATGGCAGAAGCTGGCCATGGCAGGGTAAAAATTAGCGTAACTGCCTATTTCTTAGTGTAATCGGGCAGGGGTAGATGCTAGCTGGGGGTTTTAAGAGAGGGCGACTTCGAATATGAAGTCAGATCGGTAGGAGGGTTAGTAAGTTAGGAGTTAGTGAAGGAAAGTCCCGCGCGGAGATATGGCGGGAGGAGGATGGGGAAGAGGGAAAAGTCGGAGGTATTAGTGAACTCTCGACGAAATCAGTCGGGACAAGATAGCAGACGTGGGTTTTGGCATGAGGCGAACCCATTGGAAGCGTTAGATTAGGGAAAGGAGTAGTATAGGGGGAGGTTGATGAGATAAGTATCACGCAGGCAGATGGCTTTAGATTAGTGGATAAACCTCCCCGCGTTCTAGCGAGAGATTCAACCTCGTATCGTATGAATGGAGAAGAGCGGGAGAGTGTGTGGCAGCGGGCGGAGCAGCAGACCAGCAGGCGATGATCGGAGGGATGGAAGAAGGAGGGTGTCGAGAAAGGACTTACCTGGCGGATGTATCCGACCTTCTCCTAGTGGGAGATTCGTTCGAAGTTTGCTCCCCGCTCCCGTAGAGATAGTGTCGGGGCCGGCCGTAACACAGGAGACTTACCTGTGGCCGGGGCGATGCTCGTCCCATTGAGGGAAGTTGCGTAAGAACGGCCGCGGGGCCGGAGACTGGTGTGCTGGGAGTTCGAAGAGGGTTAGCGAGGACTGCACGTGCGGTCTGCCTACTGTATGGACGACAGGGTCACGCCGCTATCCTGCTGCTTGAGCGAGGGAGTCGGGAGTGCACTAGAGGAAGGAGGGGGCGCTCGGAACTGGTAAGCAGAGTCGGTGATCTCTCCACTAGACGATGCTTAGTCGGTCATGGGGTGCCCAGCGGGATAGACTCAGTTGTGGAGCCGTGAGTCCCACTTGTTAAACTTACGGGCCGCTTGCTCTCGTGAACCCGGGCCAGTAAGAGGTCAACAGTGGAGCGCAGACTTATCTGCTAGCCAGTGCAGAACTCACGTGGCAGAATGAAGTGGCTGCACAAAGGGGGCAACGACAAGCTCTCACCGAAGGTGCAGATTGGTTTAAGAATCGTGCGCTCTGGCTGAGAGGGTGCTGTGTGGTAGTATGCACGGGCGTTGAGCCTGCGCCTAGTCACTGTAAACATTGTGTGTCCAAGGGGGCCGCCCTCCACTATACGTCCTTGGCTGCAACCCGCGGTGCCGCTGGTTACTAAGTGCAGCGAAAACTACCTTAGCTGCATTCCTGCTGCAGCCGCTGCGGTACTTACTACAGGCTGTTGTTATGAACTGACTGGGGGCGCAGGTGTAGTATAGGGAGAGTGGTTGAGCTGCAGGGAGGGGTGGTGCTACGAATTGAGAGGTCGCCAAGGGGGTTGACGTCGACAATATGGCTGAAGTTTGACCCAACTGTTCTTACTTGGCCATCATTGCGGGGCCCTCAGGCGTATGAAGGTAACAAGGCCCTCTCCTGCGAGCCTGAGTGCACCCTTCTTGGATCTGAGAGACTAAAAACTTTCTCCTTCTGTCCTTCTTGATCTCAGTCTAATCCGGGTTACGAGAGGAAGGCGGCAGGCGAGATTGCAACCCGTAAGACCGCAGCAAGACTCTGTGGGGAGTCAGCCCACCAATTGCGGGAGCTCTGCCGGAACTCAGGAGGAGTTCTGGAGGCAGGGAATTGTAAGGTAACCATTGTTTCCCTCTATAAACCCGGTTTTACCCCATATCTGTACTTCTCTCTGTGCGCTGACTGAGTGTATTGCGTGCATCCCTACGTCGACTTTTAATTTGACTTTCAGGACATGAATCAGGCTAAGTAAAGGAATGCATGCAACCCTCAGTTTCAATTTTGTTGTTCGCATGAAATCGGATTGCTAAAAGGAAGTGCATCTGGGGAAGGCAGGATGGAGGGTTGTTTTGCTTGAGGGTTTGACTGGGTCATTTAGGCTGGGAGATCCCCATGAGTTTGGGGAGATTCAGCGCTATGTTACTTTGACTTGAGTGGAGCGTCAGACCCTCCTATAAGTTTAGGGGGTCTGATCGCTCTGGTGGATGGGAAGTCCCCATAAGTTTGGGGAGACCCGGTGCTGTGAATTGCATGAAGGGTCAGGACGCTCTATAAGTTTAGGTGACCTGACTGCTCTGACTTGCGAGGGTTTGATTGTGTTTGATTTTCGGAAACTCAAGGCGCTCTATAAGTTTAGGTATCCTGAGTTGCCTTGTTTCTTGGGTTTTATTCTTTGTTTCTGAACGAGGGGGCCGAACCGTTCTGTAAGCTCAGGTGGCTCAGTCTCTTCCTGCTTTTGTTTTGAGGAAGTAATCTTTGGCAAAGGGCAGACCCTTCTGTAAGTTCAGGGGGTTTGACTCAATGCCACACACATGATGGTTTAAGGAGAAATGAATCTGGTAGAGTGTTAAATCCTTCTGTAAGTTCAGGGGATCTGGCTCAAAGCCTCGCACATGCTGGAACCTAATGGTTATAATTTGGTTATACTCAATTACCTTTTTACTTATGAATAGGCTAGTCAGGCACAAGTTCCATAAAATTGGATGGCCTGACTATAGCTTAACGTAAATTGAAGAGAGTACAATTAAGAATATAATTGAAGGTAACCGGGCCAACTGAGCTTTGTTTCTAAGATAAATGGCTCAGTCTTACGCCCACCGTGAAGATTAAAGTTCAGAGAGATATATACAACTTGGCTATTTAAACAGTTCAGGGCAGCTAGAATGGTCTACTCATATACCCAAAGAAAAGAAAAGTAGTTGTGCCCTGTGTTTGTGTATACTTTGGCTAAGTTGGGTTCATTCCATAAGTTTAGGTGTCCTGACTTTACGCCTTATGTGAGCTGGGTATAAAGGGTTAAAGCATTGAAAGATTATAAACTATTGTCTGCCATGTTGACGTGGGGATGGTGAGAGTACTTACCCTTGTGGTTTGGCCTGCATGTGGCTGAGTGAGACTGCTACTTGGTCTGAGTTTCAGTTTGATAGGTAGTTGCTTTAGGCGCTCGCCACTTTCTAGAGTCATAGGAGTTAGTTTCAATTCCTACATTTTCTTAGCTAAGTTTTTTTACTTAGGTCAATTCTCGCATTTTCTGGAATCTTTTGATATACTTGACTTTGTATAAATTTTGGTAAGCTACTTTCTCTACGGGAAGCGCTGCCGAAATTTCTACAAATCCAGGGAGTTTGTTAATTGTTGACTTTTCAAAGTTCAACTTGTCTAAAGTTCATATATGGTCTAGTAAAAATCTGGAAATTCTCCTTTTCTAAAGGGAGTGCTGCCCAAATTTTTGCTAATTCAGGAAGTTAGACAAAATTGAACTTTGGGATATCGAAGACTACTTTTGGTTTCATATTCAGGCTGATATAAATTCTGAAAAGGCACTTTTCCTACGGAAAACGCTGCCGAAATTTTCTTAATTTAGAGGAGTCAGATTATATTTTGACAGGTGGCGATTCTGGCGACCTGCCTTGAACAGGGGAGATTATGCCAGAATCTACCTTTGCTTTGGGCACTGCTTGAGGGTAGATTCAGGCTTAGTCAATTAGGAAGATTTTGAGTGAGATCGTGATATGGGGATTATTCTCCAAAGGACTTAGGTATATGGGCCATAGGTTTAGCCTGGGGATTGGCCTGTCTTGTGTTACAGGTCCTCTTGATCATTTGATTCAGGATTGGGACTARTCTCAGCTTGGTCCTACAAGGATCATCTTCTATTATCACTGATAACAGGTCGGTTGGTTGATCGCGGACGGTTGATCGCCGATTCGTCGGCTCACGACACAACTTTGCCTATACCTGTACCTCAGCTTGATTGCCTTAGCCCTAAGATTTGACATGTTTCTTTGAGGGTTTTAACCGAATTTMTTTTAAAATGACCATTATAAAGAACTTGTGAGATTTATGAAGATTTTGATTATGACAGGGGCTTGAGTGTGTGAGGCATGGTGTGAGTTACAGGGAACAGTAAAGTTGACCACATTGGTGTATGGCAATGTGGCTATTGTGTGTGTCTGTGTTTTATGCAGGTTAGCATTTTGGAGCTTGGTATATGGGCCATACTTTGGAGGCAGTGAGAATGACAACCATGTGTCGCACAATCTGCATACCCGATGGGCCTATGTTTTTCCCTTCTTTTGTTGTTATCTCGATATCTGAATTGATATATAAAGTGGTGGGATGGTTATCTATTTATTGGATTATGTTGCTTGTTAATTTTTATAGTTGGACGTTGTAGTCCGTGGCAACCGTCAAAGTCAAACCCCTTGACTTTCGTCCAGGCCTGGAGTGGGGCTCATCTCCAGGGCAGTAAGAGACGACTGCCACCACAGGTACGGACCTGTGTACCACCCACTCTGCACAGAGTGCAGAAGAGGGTGTGTGGTCTTCAACCGCGCTTGGCGGTTGTCCAGCGTCGAGAGATTAACCCTCAAGGCGCATGTCAGCCGACACTTGAGTGTCGAATGCGACCCTTGAGATTAACGAGGACCGCATGAGTATGGGTACTACATGGTACGCCATCATTGCGACTGCTTGCGTACRTTTGCATTGYTAGTCGATATGWGTAGGCCCTGYRTCCRCGYGGTTTTATACTAAGTCTCGCRCGCGACGCCTATCCGATTTCCGTATCGGAAAGTTATGGGATGACTGCTGAAGGGACTAGGAGTGTTGTCGCGYTGTTCGATGTGCGTGTGTGTGTGAGTTTTGTTTTTGCGTTCGTAGAGTGGTGTATGCGTGGTGAGTGGGATACGTCCTAGTCAACCGACGACGAGTCGCGCTTGGGACCTCAGCCCCCCGAGATGTCGATTTGCGTGCGGGCTCGATAGAGGCGTATTACCGCGTGTACCCCCTATGCTACAGCGAACGAGAAAACGCCCTCGGCTGGTCCACCTCTGCGATTGCAACAAATTAGCTTTCGTACTGTGGACTGGTAGCTCGGCGGGGATATGCCCACCGAAGGGAGGTGACAACTCCCGTAAGGTGGAGGTAAGTCGTGTCTCGCGTAGGCCCTATCCTGTCGTAGGGACTTGCGAGAGGTATGGCTGACGCACTCGGCCGGAGCGGCTTTGTGGAAGCTCCATGTATATTTGCGATGAAGGATTTAAATCCAATTCCTGCGTGACGCGGCTGGGAGGGTCCCGCGCTGCCCCGTGCGGTGCCGGACCAATGGGCTCGACACCGCATCTTAACTACATTCAGCAGGACAGACCGTACAATCCTCACATCATTAGTCACGTGTGTTAGGTCCATCTCCTCTAACTCACGAATGTCCACTTGTCTCCGCTGCATCTTGGCTCTTCTTCTAATCATTCTTTCTTTCTCCGCTTTTATATCTCCTAACGCCTTCTGTTGTTGTGCCTCCTGCAATGGTGCTTGTTGTATGACGATCTCATCGAAAGTTAGCACTAGTGGTTGGCTCGCCATGACGCAAGTGGACTGACTCTGGGTCTACGCGACCGTTGACCCTATAGACACTGAACTACCGGCCTGAGTAGACTGTTGCGTTGCGGTGGCCATGGCTTCTGAAGTTGCGGCTTCACTCACATGTGCCCTGCTAGCCTCTGCTGCTCTATCCCTCCTCTGCTGGTGCTGCCTCTCCCTAAGCTAGCGGAACAGAAATTTGCCGCCCTCTGGTCCTAATGCCTAGTGGGCAATTGGGCGTCTAGCCGATCGCAATATCCTCCGGTCGTCCTCCCCAGTGTCCTCCTCGTCGCTCATAAGCTACAGCCCTGTACACAATCTGCACTAATGCACTCTAGGTGCCTAACGCAGCGTAGTGCACAGACCAATTAACTGGTGGCTATTTCGGAGACTTTACATTCGGGTCAACAGGTAAGTCAGATTCCTACAAATAAAACTATTTTTAGTTTGACTAGTCCGCAAATAGAAGCATCATGAACAAGAAGCAGTTCTAACTAATGTTGTCTGTCAGATGTCAATGGTTGTACACCTAACTAATCAAAACATAAAAATAGAATTATTTGTGTGGATAGGACAGCATGGAATTTTCTCGAACTTATCACCTGGAATTTACCCCTCCCTTAGTTCCCCTAAGTATCACTTGACGTCAGCATCCCTGAGCAATCTGGAGAGCGTCGCGTGTCTAAAGGTGTGTTTCCGGCCCACCCCTGTGCCCCGAGTATCTGCTGAGTTGGTCAGCCCTGCACTGGATTATCCTCGCGTGCAGCGAGCCTTACAACCATTGGCTGATCCAGAGGCAATTTAACGTCCGCCCCCAAGTGACTCCAGGAATTATTTTACGTCGCAGTCGGACGACGATCACAGCCAATGGTTCCCCTTCCGGTGCTTATTTAAAGACGCCCGGTCTCGTCTCCCATAGGGCTTGCCTGCCCTTCAGTACCCATCTAACAGCGCAGCAAGCTGAACAAAGGACAAGCAGCAAGGCATGCGTGCTCTACTCCCTGTGGGTTGGCATGGTGACCGTGACCCAGTACTTCGTCCAGGACCCTTCAGAAAGCTCCGCCCATCTTCTCCCAGATGCTCCACGTGAACATTGCCGACTCTCAAGGTTGAGCGCACTCGACACCTCACAATGAGAGGACTCTCAAGAAGGAACACACAACCTCACGGTAAGAAGTCTTGAAGAGGGTAGATAAGGTTAAGAGCAACGTACCTCAAATAGCTGCCCCCAACCACATAGATAATCTCACCAGATGACCTTATGGCGATTGCGATGACCAGTCACTGCATCGGCACAACCAGCATTATCTCGTCGTTCCACCTCAGCATCAATCGCACATTAGATAATTATCATCACACTGTCCAGACCACATTACACATTTCGTAGCCTTCCTGGCGATCCCCTCACCTCCTGGGTTGCCACTCACTCGCCTCCGCCCTCCTCACTACACACCACTTACGGCCAAACTCGCCAAGCAGACCGCATGTATGTACCGTAGCAGGCAGAAGACAAGCGCCAGATGAGCGCAAACGTACCACAGCTCTGATACCAAATTGCAAGGAAGATGAGCAATAGCGAACTTCAGCAATCAAACAGCATCATATTCACAAGACCAGATAGTCGTGACCTCGAACCAACAGCAGTATTGCATCACGAGATTCACCAAATAAGAAGACACCAAGAGCTCAAAATTGACAATGCTGGCAATGTCTCATCATCATCATCAATGAAGAACCAATGTTGATATCCTATCTGGCGCTCGGCGCCCAGACTACTGATGACAGATCCTATCTAGCCGAGACTACCATGCCGAATGTTGACGACAACAGCTTTCCGAAGTACAAGCATACAGCGACCAATGTCACACCATTCCAGCACCAGGTATGTCTCTCGCTACACTCACAACCTCGTTCCCCAACACACAGATGCCACTTGCACCCAAGGACCACCCTGCGCCTCACCCAGCTTACAGCAGCGCAGCTTGGCTATGGCTGCGTGCTCCTTCCCTGCTCGCCCGTGAGAGCGTAGGCGCCAGCCAGCAAATAGCGCAGCAGCGCTTGCGCAGCATGCAGCCAGCACCCAAATGTCGAATGAGGAGGCAGGCCCTTTGCTATATCGAAGTGGCCTGCCTGCGTCCAGTCCCAGGAAGCTTCCAGTAGGCCCCGGTAGCCTGAGGCCCAGCAYGAACGAAAACAGGCCKTGGGCCTGAGGTGGTTGTATGCGCCCMACTGCCTTTGGCCTGTGTTTGGCCCAGTACCCGTATCCAGCCTAGGGCCTGCTTTCCATACATTCACGCAGGCGGCCCAGGGCCTGGGTTTTCTCAACCAACTGGCGCTGCGCAAGTGCCTGAATTTCCTTAGTTGCGCAGAGGCCGAATTAAGGCCCTGAGGGGCCTCGTCGAGCCTGCCTTCACTTAGGGCAGCCGACAGGCTCCCAAAAAGGGGCCGATTGGGGCTCATAGAGGCAGTGGCCTCGCATTTTTTCCTTCTTGTCGTCATTTCACTACGGTAGCACGTTCCCTTTTTACGACATTCAGTGTGAAGAGGAGGATTGTTTCTAAGTAGGTAGGAGCGTGGAGGCATCCCAGATTAGTCAAGAGTTCACACTCTCAGCAGCATGGAATAGACAGGCTGTGACATTGGAGGAGCAAAGCATCACAATATGAGTTAACTTATAATACGACCAAGAGCCTGAAGTTCTGCGATATCAATTTGAGCGAATGATAACATTGACGACTGTCTAGTAGTGTCTACACACCTGCAGAAAGGTTGCCTTTTTTTCTTTTTTTTTTTCAAAAACCCTACCAATGTTAGTGTTGGTGATAAGAGCAGACACCACTAACACCTGGGTAGAGACTCCATCTATTGGTGGGGAGCGTCACCTGCTGGAAACCGGGTCCAGTGTTAGTAATTTAGTATTTACTATTTACTCATTTATTTATTTATTTATTTATTTATTAATTTATGTATTTTTAAAGGAAAGAACTGGTGAGAGGGGATGATAAGAGCAGCCCGTCCTCTTTTCAAATTAACACCAGTAGTACCAGAATTGGTCCCCTTCACAAAGAGGTGGTAGCCTTCGTGCCCTACTTTTCAGAAGTATTTCTGACCAAGAGGCAAACACAAGAACGGAGTAACATTCGCTTGATCCTTTTTCTGTTGCAGGCAAATGAGGCATCAGAGATTGCTAGCTCAAGCAGAAGGATTGAGGAAGGAGTCGGTCCGCTGATGGACGACACTGCTGAGACCAACGCTCAACCGATCTCACAATCAGTCCAACATATGAAAATGCCAACAAGTGTGAGTATCCTTTCCTCCAGCCTACATTGCTTTGTCTGCAGATTTAGTTCAGATTCTTTTACACAGACATAACAATGGTGTGGGAGTCTTGCGCAGCAATATGGCCAACAAAGCAGTCCTGGAATTGAAAATGTCCATGAGAGTTAGTATGATAATGCTTCTTATTGAACCTAAACCCCTCCGTCCCCATTGCAGGACATGGAACAACCTTCACAAGCATACATGATAGAAGTAGGGAACTATGGCATGACGAGGACAAAGAAAAACTCTGAAAAAGGCTTTTTTTTTTCCCTTTTTTTTTTAAGAGCAATCCACCTGCGTCAACAGCTAGGAGTGATGGTAAGAGCATACACTCCTACCTATCTTACAGGGGGCTCCAATCTAAAAGGCTTACTGTGATCACTCTGCTTATTTGTACCAGCACCCCATTGCCACTCCAGAGATAACTGGGGAGTGACAAACACTGTCAAACAGCGAATGTACCTGCCCCGACAGGCGAATAGCGCATACTTGTTAGAATCCCACTGGATTCAGTCGAATTTGCACCGAGACACACTTGATAGCATCAAATGATGTAATCAGTACTAATGACACCAAACTTTATGGGTGCTTTCAAAACTAGTTTTCCGACATACAACCTTGAAATCTTTTTTCTTTTTTCTTTTTTTTTGTGAAAAGACTTGGAAAGTTTTTCCAACTGGGTGCTGAAACGGACTCTCTTATTTTGCCAGGCCCTGCCTCGGCAGACAGTTTCGATCTGTTGCGCCCCTTCCCTGGGAATGAGCTGCAATGAGACCGGGACAGGCAACTGCCTCCTATAGGCTACTGGAACCCTCTACTGTTTCTACCAGTCTTAGCCTATTGGATTTATTTTTTTTTATTTTTTTTTTAACAGGTCCTTATGGTCCTGGCTCAATATCCATTCTGGGGAGCGTCAGTCCGGTTCCTATTCCCCCGGCAAGTCAAAAGATTACAACATTTTACCCACACAACGCTTCCTTCCGTCTGGCCAAAGGAACCCTGACCAGCATTGATAGCTCCTTCTAAGGAGGATTGACTGGCAGCTTGCCCTGACCACTTGTTCCTCTCAGGCTTCTATTCAGAGCCTGTCGGATGAATCCCTGCAATGCGAGAAAAGTGGGGGGCCCCCCTCAGTGTTCTGCGAACATCTGTGTGGTGGGGAGAACAAAGTCGTGGAGGGGGTTGTGGTTTTGTTCAGCGAGGCAGTCTATGGATGGGTCCTTGCGGAGGAAAGATGCAATGGCTTCCATTATGAACAGGAATATAGGGGGTGTGAGGGGGTCACCTTGACGGACCGATCTCAATATCGGATAGGTTTCTTACAGTATTCTTTTTATCTGCACCCTGCCCGTGGCATCCCCGTAGAGTACTTTTACCCACTCTCTGAAGTTTGGGCCGACTCCCATCTTCTCCATACAACTGTGTAGGAAGTCCCAATTGACTTGATCATAGGCCTTTTCGAAATCGAAGAATAGGATCGCCGCTTGCATCCGTTTTTCTGTGATCTTCTTTGCAGCTTCGTTTAGATCCATCACATTATCCAAAATATATCGACCCAGAATGAATCCTGCTTGGTCGATGTGAAAGCATTTGTCTGTTAGTTTTATGATTATGTTTGCTAGTGTCTTTGCTAGGATTTTGTAGGGTGTTGTGAGAAGTGAGATTGGTCTGTAGTTCTTAAGTTTCTCCTTGTCGCCCTTTTTGTATATTAGTGAGACTACGCCGGTGCTTAGATATTGACCCAGGCCTGTTTTTTCCTTGTTGTCATTAATAAAGTTCAGGAGGTCGTTTTCCAGTGTGGGCCAGAATTGGATCCAGAATTCTTTGGACAGACCATCGATTCCTGGTACTTTGTCATCTCCCATCTGGGACAAGGTAGCATGCAGTTCCCCTATGGTGATTGGTTTGTCCAGGTCCTCAGTTTGTTGCTGGTTGATTGTTCTCTCTAGGTAGGTCATCATGCGCTGACGGGCGTTGATGTTCGCTGCCTGGGGGGGGAGGTAGTTTTGGACTCGTAAAGGTCGGCGTAGAATGATTTGAATATTCTTACCATGTCTGTACTTGCTGACTTTGTCTTCCCCCGGTCTGTTGAGTCCTTCAACCTCTCGATCATGTTGTTACTTGCATTGGCCTTAATTCTGGAGAAGAAGAATTTGGACATGGATTCGTTCAGGGCATAGTCGTTCATTCGGGCACGTATTTGTAGGCCCTTGAGTTTCCATCTTCTCCATTTATTTAATTCATCCTTGGCAGATTGTAGTAGGTCGTGATCGAAGGAGTTGGCAGGATCTGATGCGAGATTGGTTTCAGCGATGTCAAGAGCAATTTGCAATTCTTCCTTCCTGATTTTGCGTTCAGCTGCTATCCTTCTAGACTCTGCTGAGACCGTCTGAGATAGGTCCATATAGCTGTCTATGAACCACTTGTGCCTGTTCTGACGTTTCATCTCGTCTTGTTGTAAGAAAGCCTAGTTCCATCTGACTGCCTCTGTCATGCGATCTGTGGAGAGAAGTGAGTTGTTGAGTCTGAAAAAACCTCGCCCTTTTTCTACTGGAGAGTTGAAGTTGAGGAGCAGGTAGGTCGGTTTGTGATCGAGCTCCTTGAAGGCAGCTACTGGTAGGATATTGGACTGCTTGATTGCTCCCTGCAACATGTCGGAGATTAGGAAGAAGTCGATCCGTGATAGAGATGTGTGGGTAGATCGGTTTCTTTTGACTAGGGAGAAACCTTTCTTGCGTGGGTGGAGGATTCGAAAAGGGTCTATCAGATCGAACTCCGTCATGATGTTTCTCAGGTGTGTGCTCGCTCGTGTGGGTCTCATAAGCGTTGCCTGGGAGATGCGGTCCAGGCTGGGATCCACCGTGGTGTTCCAGTCGCCTGCAATGATTAGTTGTAGGGGGTTCGAGAAGAGTGATTTGATGTGGTCAAAGAAAGTTAGGCGTTCGGTTTCCGTGTTGGGGGCGTATATGTTCAGGATCCTGATCTCTTCCTCTTGCCATGTGATTTGGATCCATGACCATCTTCCTTCCGCTGTGTCGCCTTCGCCGTTTCTTACCTGTCCTTCCGACCAGATTTTGGATGTAGTTGGCATAAGGATCGCTGTGCCGCGGTTGCTTTGGTCCGCTTTATTGAACCAGAGTATGAAAGGGCATCCACCTAGGTTTTTTTCCACGGTCTTCTTGATTCTCGTGTGGTTGGTGAGGTTTGATAGATGAGTCTCTTGTAGAAGGATGACATCGGGCTTGGTCTTTCTTTTGTCTGTGAGGCCGAGTCTGATGTCTCCTAGTTTGTCGTCTTCATCGAGAATGTTACCTAAGCCGTTGACATTCCATCTGTGGATCGTTAGTCCTTTGGCTTGCCAATCTACCCTCACTGTCCCAGACTGATCCTCGTTGCAGTCGATTTGATTTCGTCTGGCGGGGTGCTGTATTCAGATTTATTTATTTATTTATTTATTTATTTATTTTTTTCGGTTGGTATGGACGTTTGTTGGGCAAGGTTTATAATTGGAGGTTCGATATATTTAGTCCACAACGGCAGAGGTTTTGGGGCTGCCCCGCTCAGAGTCCTCACTGTTCTCGCTGCCCTCGCTGATCTCTTTCCCTCACGCTAACTTCAGGCAACGACGTGGCTTCAGTCCCTGCTCCTTCTGGGCAAATCCCGTCAGCCACCCCGTAGTCTTCGTCATCGGCCATACTTCCCTCGTTGTCGTCGGGCTCCACGTAGAGCGCCCTGGCTTCGTCTTGCAGGGAGTGCTCTGTGATGAGGATGTGGGACCTGATAATGGAGGCCAGGGAGACCGCCATGACCTCTGTCGGGCACATCTTACCTGCAAGAGTGTTGTACGGCAGCGCTGTCACAGTGTTTCACGCTCTCTATATCAGTCCTTTGTGTAATCTGGCTTTCTCATCCAGTTTTACTATGATTGGCTCGAAGGACTTGGCTGTGTCAGGGGTCTGGCCTGTTTCGTCTTCATTATCTGCATGGGCCACTGGGACTTCATAAGCGCCCGCAGGGAATTCGTCTGAGATCCCTTCTTTCGTAGTTCTGGCCAGGGACCAGCTCCATCTATTGGTGGGGAGCTTCACCTGCTGGAAAACGGGTCCAGCGTCCCTTATACAGCTTGTACTCGTAACATGTTAGAAAGATAGAAAAAATGGAAAATAGAGAAAGGCTTGCCAGCATTGATTGCCCTGAAAGCCAGGGGATTAACTGAACAGGCCGTCTGAGAACCATCAGGGAAGGGGTAGGCACCTCTTCGCCCAGAAACCAGGCGCCAGGTATCAACCGGTGAAGAACTGGTTCCCACCACCTTCTTTCGAAATGCTGAGTAAGGGCTGTGGTGTATAATAGCCTGAGAGCGGTGAATGGAAAGCACCAGGCCCTTGTCTTGCCCCCTGCGTGCAGATCATCCTCCTTACTGTTGTCCATACCACTGTCTTTCTACGATTGCTGTGGCTGCCGGGGGAAACATGTATGGGAATTCCTCGGGGCTCTTCATGGGGATGTTGGGATCGATCTGGAGCCACTCATGAAACCTGAGCTTGTAGTCCTTGGTAAGGTTCCCGTATCCCCCCTCATCCCTCTTTTCCCCTGGCCAGTCCACCTGACCCACCCTGCCCCCTCTTTCCCCCCCAAGCCATTCTGCGCCGAAGTTATGAATTTCCTTGGTTATGTATGTTTTTTGTGGACCTCCATTCTTTGCTGCACTTTTTTCCATTGTGTTCTTATTTCTATTTCAATAAACTGTTTTACTGTGTTTGCCACTTCTCCTTCCCCCATTCTCGCCCCTTCTTGATCGAAGATGCATCTTTTAAGCCACAACGTCCAGATCACCGCCTTCCGAGCTATGGAGAAGAGATTGGTGGCCAGGCGAGATGCCTGTGGCCTTCCTCATTCTCCTAATAGGAGGGCTTCCCATTTCCATGGCCACTCCTCATTGGTTCCCAGTTGTGACCAGATGCGGTCCCACCAACGCC